TGTTCCATGCACAACATGTATATTACCTATGATATTACCTGATATGTCTGATCCAGCGACTCCTGGTCCTTTCATCAGACGGGAAGCGATAGAACGAGCAAGTGGTATGATCACTTTTGTGATTACAACCTGGTACAAAGCACACAGGCATCTTGTAAAAGTGAACCAACCACTTGGAGCATTATCGCCTGTGACATCACTTACGCGACCCAGAATGGGATTTGTAGTCTTTGTAGTCGCGTATTTTTAATAGTCTTATATTTCAACAGTTTTATGACAAAATGTGACTTTTTTTACATGGAAATGATTGTTTAAGATTGACAAACATAATATGTGTAGTTCGTGGCACAATTCAAACGGGATCAAAAGATACGTTTTCTCTCTCCATTGAATTCAATGTATAATTTTTCGCTTCCGGGGTCCCATGGACCGGAAAGATGGGCGTGACTTCGCCTCTCTATGGGGACGCTACTCAAGATGGCGCAGACAAATCAACTTCCGGTGAGACAGAGACCGAGGAGCGAGGAAATGAAAAATAAGAGAAGTGAGAAGAGCCCCAAGAATCGACAACTCTCCTCTGCTCACTCCTTTCCTGCCCACACATATGCTCCATCAAGGATGGTGCTACAGGCCGCAAGACAGTGCACTTACAACTACAATAAGCATGTTAATCTAATACAGCTCCGGCGTCCCGTCCCCCCCCCACGGTGGTTTTGGAAATGCTCCAGATTTCTGAGGTCTCAAGGTTGGCAAGTATGTATGGAGTCAGATTTGGGTCAATATTCTAGCGCGTAAAACAAGCTACTCACGAGTGGAAAATGTGCTTTTACACGCGCCTAAAATGACTCGCGCGCAGATTAAACCCCCGCGAGCGGCTATGCACTCGCGAGAGAGACAGCCCTCTTGCTCCCTCGCGGGAGTGTCAGCCTCGCTCGCGGAGTCTGTCTACGCGCGCGTGAAAAGTTTCTGACACTTTGGGGCGGAGCCACTGGACTTTGATTGACAGCTGCCAGGAACCCCGGAGTTGCCAGGTTTGATAAATGCCTGAACTACCAAGAGCCGAGGAGTGACAGCTGCAAGATCAGTTGGACGAGATTGAATGGTAAAGTTGTCCATAAAAAACTATTATATTCGTAAGTTAGCAACACACGTTAACCACGAACAGCCTATTAATCCGTTCTCCTCATGTTATTTCTTCCAACGTTGTGGAATTAGAGAAAAGGGGCTTCTTAACGTGCTTTTATCCGGGGTGGAGGGAGTTACATATTAGTTAAATATAACATTGGGGCGTGTGATTGTAGTGGGTGGAGAAATGAGGATATCCATTTTGGAGTTCCAGCTAGTATAATATAGTTAACGTTACACAATAATAAGGAAGAGAGCTATTTGTGTGATACATCGCTATTGATATGGATTTAGAGTGGATATTTGAGACTTCTAAACAGTAAACAAAAACATAACTTATGGGTGAGTGTTTTTAGCAGAGCCATATTATGTCTTTGTGATTCTGTTTATTATTACCCGTCTGTATTATGTTGCAGCTCAGCTGATGTTGGATTGATGGCAAAGGGAGAGGGACTTAAGTAAGAGTGAAAACACAAGGTACGTTTAAAATAGGTCACCAATTTCCCATCCTATAGGTTGCTAGATGTATCTAACCCTTTCTCCTGTCTCCCTCTCTCAGCACAAGAACCCCAGGGGGATTCAATGGAGCATGAAGACCTGCACTGAGACCCTCACCCTGCACCTGAGTCTCAACTCCCAGTTGAGAGTTTTGCAAGCCTCTCCCTGTTCCTTATTTTGATTAAACAGACGTTAAGCTTCCCAATGGTGTGGTCTTCGTTTTGTGAAAAATATGATTACCTCACATATGTTGTTGCTGTTGTTGTCTTTTGTGATAGTTAAATTGCTCCTGCTGACTTGAGCCAGCCATTCTTTCCTCCTCTCTGTGTCAGTGGGGAAACTTTACATTCATACTCCTTTCTCTGAGCGCTTGGAGCATCCCCAGGCAGCACAGCAAACCATGGGGGAGACTATATGCCGGACAACACGGAGGAAAAGGCACAGACAAACTGCATGATATGCTATTCAATGTTTATTGAATTCCATTTATTTACAATGGATGTTCCAAAAACAACACATTTAACATCATCATCATGCTGCTGCTGCTAGTCCTTTGACTCATTGTGCTGTCAGTTGACAATCATTGATATAGGCACCTGTGGGTCTCCTGTCCTTTCTGAAAGTCATAAAGATTACATTAGTACTTTAGATTACTTGTGTCCTCAATTACCAGGGGATTACTGAAACCACCATGAATTAATGAAATGGTAGAAATGAATCTAATCTGAATTTTGAAACCTTCCTTCCCATCCCCTCCCTCTAAATATATCAAACATTAGGATGTGATGCTCCTGACTACCATACAGGTTTAAGAAGATAATATTTGTTTTAAAGAATTCAAAGCAATAAACAACAGGCTCTGTAACCAAGGCAACGTTAGCCTAACATGTATGTTAACAGGTAAGATAGCTGTTCACACTATGTATATTTTCTACTTTCTACGTTGTAATGCTATGTTATTTCTATTTAAGATGTTTACATTTTCGATTGTTTAATTATAGTCTTTTAACTGTCTAATGTACAATGCCTCCTTGTCTTTTGCTGCTGCAGCGTAAACATTTCCCCAATTGGTATCAATAAAGTAGGCTACTTCTTATTTTATCTTAATCCTCAAATATTAGCACATTTTTTTTTAAAACACACATTGATGTAACTACATACACATATCGATATGTTGTATAAATATTGCAAATCAAAACCTTTATTGACCACTAATTACCAAAAATTGCATTTATATCCTGTTATTAATGCATTCAAATCGTGATTCAAATGGCCCGCCACAAACTTCCGGGAACTTTCTGAGTCTCTGAACCACGTGACGATCAAGCATTTTGGACTTCCGCTGTAGCAACTCTTCTCTCTACATGGCGCTGGACCAGCCAATCAGAATTGACCTTCTTGAGTTCTCCGATTGGTTGGTTTTGTGGCACATTTGTAACGCTGTGACAACTTGAGCGAGCGCAGGCAAAGCTGAGCGCGCGCAGGCTGGAGAGGTCGAGAGAGCGGGGGAGAGAGAGCGCGTGCAGCGGTCTGCTTGCGCACGGAGCAGGAGTTTTACGAGAGAACATATATTTCTCTGTGCTCAAAATTTTTCAAGTGCGCGCTCAATAGCATTTTCTATGCTCAACATGTTTCATTGCGTGCTCAGGATAGAGGCAAAAATATAACGCCATAGAAGAGGTGGAGTGAGGTTGAGCGATGGAGAGAGAGAGAGATTGAGCGAGGCAGAGAGCCTGTGCAGCGGTCTGCTTGCGCACAGAGCAGGAGTTTGTGAGAGCCGGCTTGAGAGTACATTTCTCTTCAAAATATAATTGATTGCCAGCTGACTTGCTTGCCCGTTGGTAACGTAGGCCTAACTGATTTATTCTAATGTGCCTGCATCTGGCGCTGAGTTGGGTCCGTGTACTTTTTGTCAGTTTGATTTTTCGTTTTAAACAAAAGCCAAAACACGGAAATACCAGCCTTTTCCCGTTTTTTATTTAAAACGAAAAAACGGGAAACCAAAGCCGTTTTTCCCGTTGTTGTTGTCTGAATAAAAAGACCGATAACGAGAAAACCTAATTTAAAAAAAGGTAAGTGTACGTTTTGTTAGTTTGATTTTTCGTTTGAACCAAAAAATGAGAAAAATGAAAATACCAGCCTTTTTTTGTTTTAAATCAAAAACGAAAACACGTGAAACCAAAGCCGTTTTCCTGTTTATGTTGTCTGAATCAAAAACGGATAACAAGATAAAAACGGTCTGATTTTGGTTTTTGATAACAACTTCATTCAATGTTCCGTTTTGTATTGAAGAATGAAGAAAAGCAGTCCACTTGACCGGAAGTTAAAGAACATATTTCAAAAATAAAAGACACGAGGCTATAATGGCAATGCTGTAAAAGACCCATAAGTCTGACGACCCTTGGCCCCCCTGCTTCCGGCACCCATGCTGACGAGGATACGTTTATTTCTGCATTCACATGCAGATATGCGTTTATAGAGATTAATACAAGTATGCAAGCTCTGGGCATAATTGTATTCCTTGACTTCCGGTTTGTACTGTGTTGGCAAATCCAGTGTCCAGCTTGTCGCTGTGTGACAACGTCATGTTTGTTGCATACCTGCAAGATTGATCTGTGACAAATGTCAGCGATGTGAACAGAACTGTCGCCCTACTTTCACCTGCACCCAGCAGCAAGCGGGAGAACAATATATCATACAGGCGACCCCTAAAACAGTTCACACAGTAATGGAACAGTTGTTAAGCATTATTTTGTCCAACTAGTCTACATTATGAATTTGATGTTTGTCTAAACTGCTAAGAAGCTGACAGCTGAGTTAGAACAGAAATACATGCAGGCCATAATCACTAGACGCTCAAAAGAGGAATGTGTGTGTAGGCAAAATAAAAGACACGAGGATATGCTGTAAAAGTTAAATCCTGGAACCCAGAAGTCTGACGAGGATAAGTTTATCTCTGCATTCACATGCAGATATGCGTTTATAGAGATCAATACAAGTATGCAAGCACTGTGCATAGCTTTATTTAGCTGACTTCCGGTTTGTACTGTGTCGGTAAATCCAGTGTCCAGCTTGCCGTTGTGTGACAACCATAGACTGGTGACAGCGTCATGTTTGTTGCATACCTGCAAGATAAGATAAGAACTATCGCCCTACTTTCACCTGCACCCAGCAGCAAGCGGGAGAACGATATATCATACAGTCGACCCCTAAAACAGTTCACACAGTAAATGGAACAGTTGTTAATTTGTCCAACATTATGAATTTGATGTTTGTCTAAACTGCTAATTTTATTTGTATTTATTTTTTATTTAACCTTTATTTAACCAGATAAAAGCATTGAGATAGAATCTCATTTGCAATGCTGACCTGGCCAAGAAGGCAGCAACGTTACACATAACACAAACATATAAAATACAGAGAACATAACTAAGAAAACAAAAGACAAAAAAACAGTCACTACATTGTGCACATTAGGACAGTAAGGAGCTGACAGCTGAGTTAGAACAGAAAGACATGCAGGCCATAATCACTCGACGCTCAAAAGAGGAATGTGTGTGTAGGCTTACATGAACTGAATTGAAACATTGTCCATTAGTTGATTAATAAACAAGACATTCAAGTCAAAGTTTTAGGCATTTTCATTTGTAGCACGCTGTAAATATGGACTATGAATGAACACATGCAATGTGGAAACACACAAATAGGTTTATTCTCAATACTCATAACAGTATCAGACACAATGACTTTACTGAGAGTGAAGATGACATGAACATAGTTACTGTATGGTACTGAAGACAACATACACTACAGTATATTGCATTTACATATACTGGTGTTGCATTTTGCATTAGCCTCAACCCTCTGGGAGTTCAAAATGAACACTAATCTAGTGTCAAATGTCGTGTATTGGTATTATGATGTACAACAAACTGGTGTTAAAAGTTACAATGACCAATAAATCATTCCAGATATCAGCATATGACAAGTGCTTTATTTGAATGGTGGCATGTCTCTTAAGACTGAGAAATTCTCCCAATATTCAATTCAACCAACATTCAATATTGTTCAACAGCAAAAATGTATATAAATAACCCTCTGTGGCAGTTGAGGTCCAAAAATGTTGTTTGTTGCCTGCCGTGCCAGGCAACAAACAACATGTTTGGACCACACACACACTCACACCCAGTGCTTCAGTAAAAAAAAAAATCTATGTTATAGACAGTTGCTTGCAGAAATGTGTACATGCTTTTGAGTGCTGGATCATAGCTAGTGCCTAAGACAAAGTGAAGCTTAAAAAGTTCATCAATTGCTGCTAAGGAAGTGGTAGCCTCACAGGGGATGAGCTTCTTGTCGATCAGAATAAAGAAGTTGCCGATGGCCCCTGAAGCAAGAAGATATGGTTGGCTCGTGTCGATATGGCTCTGAAGGTGCTCATCCAGACTCCTACAGGACTGAAGGCAAGCAACATTTTCATTTTACATGGCTAACTATGTGCATGTGTGTGTAATGTGTTTTTAGGAATAGTTTATATTTAAACTAGCCTAGTGCTACTTTATCATAGTGACAGCTCTCTGGAGTAGTTCTGGTAGCTAGATCTAACATTCTTAAACCTGCCACATACCTTGTGAAATACGACCAGATGGTCAATGGCCTGAGCTACACTGATCTTCTGGGTTTTCTTCCTTCCCGCAGGCTGGGGTGACAGGAGGTGCAGAAGGAGCAGGATGGATGCCATATCACTGTCCCACTCTGTAAGAAAAGAGAACAATGATCAATTTGCTTTTTTTTACCTGTGACGAAGGTAACTTCGTCACTGTGAACTGACGGCTTCGGGCCTCGTAACTCAGCACTTTAGTGAACCGTTTTGCACTTTATTAGCGTGATTGCACAGTACCGTTTGGCATGGCATATTTGCACATTTTATGTAATGTATACTAATTATTGAGATAGTATTTATTAAAGGATTAAACCGTATTGATTGAAATGTCGTCTGGCAGGTGCTGGTCGGGTCCTCGGCTCCGCCTGACAAGATAGGGGAGTTAGCGAGAGCGCCGAAAGTGCTTATGCTGGGGTAGAATGACAGCGGTTAAGAATAATCCGGGTGCACATAATATGTGGGGGTGTAGACATCATAGCGTTAAGTCGCAGTAATTGCTCAAGTGCTGACTGCGTTTAGTTGGGTTTGTATGTGTGTACTTCTGTTCAGTTATAAGTTTGTGTTTGAAAAGTGTTCCCCCTCCCGTTATGTCTGTTGCTGATTGTGTGCACCTGGTGCCCTATGTTGTCTCCTCCCCCCTCACCTGTGTCTTGTTGTGCTGATTAGAGTGTGTGTATTTAGGCTCTGTTTCCCTGTCTGTTGAGGAGGCAGGGACTGTGGGTGAGATCCTGGTGGCTGCAGGCTGGGCTCACGTGAACAGCAGCAGCAGGATTGAGGCTGTGTATGTAATGTGTTCATGTTTTAATAAATGCCCACACCGGGTTGTATTTTTGGACGTTCTGCCTCTGCCTCCTTGCTTGGTCGGGCCGCTCAATTGTCAGCTTCACATTACCCATCTGTATAATGTCCAACAGTACATGTACATGTACAAGCAAAATACAAGACATGAAGTCTCACAACACAATAAAGTATGGAAAAAGTGAAGTGGCCTGAATACTTTCCAAACCCACTGTACCCTGGCATTCTCCAACTGTGTGGTCATACACTCCCTCCAGCCTCACATAGACAATTTACAATAGGCAATATGACATGATATGACAATGCAGTTCCTAAAACCATACCTGGTGATTCCAGTGATGGTTCATCAGCCCTTTGGTTCTTGGCAGACAACAACAAGCGCTTCAGCAAGGGTGTGGAAGTCAGCATTTCTGCCTGTTGGATGACCTTTGCTTTGAAGGAGGTTGGCCACTTTTCCAGTAGTTTGGATGGAGTTTCTGACCCAAAGAGGAGACTGAAGTCTTGGAGAATCTAAAACACATACAGCTCAAACGCAAGAACAACCATCAGGCTTACAATTTACTACTAATGCCAATTTCACAGGTGTAGATCATCTCCATTTAACTGAAGGTTGCTTAAAACGTCTATCAAAATAGATTTACTAATAAACAACATTCATAATAAGCAAAAGTAGGAGTAATAAAATATTACCAATGTAATATTGTCCAGCAGCCGCGGGAATACTGAAAGGACCCACCTCCTTTCTGACCGTCATAAAAATGCTCCTGACCGAAAAGGACATAAGAGGAATGGTAAATGGACTGCACTTACTGTGTATATATATAGCGCTTTGGATAAAATTGTCAATTCACCCATTGACACAAACATTCACATAACCAATGGTGGCAGCTGCCATGCAAGGTGCAGGCCTGCTCATTGGGAGCAATTCGGGGTTCAGTGTCTTGCCTAAGGAGTAAGGACACTTTGATATGTGGACAGGAGGAGCCGGGATTCGAACCACCAACCCTGCAGTCATTGGACAATCCGCTCTACCGCCTGAGCCACAGCCGCCCGAATGAATTAAACTACCCTATGTATACAACTACAGGAATTCTTAAATGCAGTGGCATGTTATAGAAATCCCACAGCATTCAAGGAACCATGTAAGCCATCTAAAACAGTCTACTTTGATCATAATCAAGAATAACTCACATATCCTGTCTTCCCATGTGGATCTTTGAGCGAGGGAAACAGGGTAACAATCCCCAGTGCATACTTCTCTTTGGTCAGTCGCTGAGGGATTCTCCTGTAGAGCAAAAACAGTCATTTTCAACATTTCATTCATTTAAGTCTAAGAGACTTAGTTTTAGAACATATAAACTTAATGAACTAAATGTATGTAGAAATACAATTGCACCAACTTCATCCACACTTAACCTATACATACATGACACTTTCATGCAAAGCTATAACAAACGGATGGACAGACATCACTAAAATGTAAAACAATGGTGTACATGACATATTGAACATGCACTCACATTTTTGGCTTGTGGACCCTGCAAAGCCTCCTCCTCTTTTCTGAAGCGTTTCAGAGTGCCACTGTAGAAATCGTTTTCACTGCTGCTTTTCGAAGTGACTGAAATAGTATCTGTGCCTGAAGCAGAGGATGGGGATGGCTCTGGAAAATAATGTCATCACACAAGAGATATTAAATATGAATATTGAAATGGTCTTCCTTTGTCATGTCTTTATGTAGTGTTCTCAAAAATACAACAAACCCACTGAAAACCTCCATTGCAAGTATGAGTCCCAAAGTCGTTGTCCACAAGAGCGCACTCTACTTGGGACCAATACTTAGACAGCAATGGTGGTTTTTAGTCTAGCAAAAGCTTAAGAACAAGGCTTTCAACAAGACCCCCAAGTAAGTACAAAATTATGTATTTTCACTAAATCAGTTGAGTATGCCTTTACCCATGCACGTGTCAATCACACCACACATTTGATTCTTATAAACAATACTTTACCTTTTAAGATAGTATTGTTTATAGCAATGAAATGTGTGGTGTGCTTGACACTTGCATGGGGATAATCGGCATACAATACAATTGAGAAGTGTAAAATAGACCCTTTTCTCAGCAGCCATGTTGACATGCTGCGTAAACAGAGATGTAATTTAGGATGTAGGCAGGCCAGGGCCCTGATAATATGCTGTCTCACTGGAATGGCTGTGACACACTAAATAGATCGGGCCAAAATTCATTTGATCTATTACACCTGTGTTTACCCTGCTATGACGTCAACATAGCTGCTGAGAAAAGGCTTTATTGTCGTCACTCACCACCATTGTCATTCAGTTAATCTTTGATGACAAAGCATATTCCACTGGTAGTCAGTAGATCTGGAAATGCGTAGTTGTCCACTTCTGTGCCAGTCTCATCCTCCACTGATAAGATGTTGTCCACAGGGATGGAAAACCTCTCTTTCACTAAAAGGATTGAAGACCACACACACACACACACACACACACACACACACACACACACACACACACACACACACACACACACACACACACACACCACACACACACACACACACACACACACACACACACACACACACACACACACACACACACACACGGGGGGGGGGAAACTGCCTCAACAGTGCATCATGTCCATCTAATGTAACAGTAGGTTAATGAGGGTGGATCGCAAAATTCCCCTCTGTGGGACTAATAAAGGTATTCTGATTCATATGCAGTAAAGTGGTTTACTTGCCTTCAGTGATGAAGATGTCAAAACAAGCTTCTAGAATTTTGATGTACTTCTTTTGGTTTCGGTATTGCACTTTGACTATCATCTTCAGCTGAAGAGAAGAGTACTATATGGGTAAAATGGAGATACACAACATTTGTTATTCCACAAGTTATTAGATTTTTCACATGATGCATCACAACTTCCCCTTCTTAAGCAAGCAAATACTCAAATTGTGTAAGGGTGGCATAATATAAATTGGAACTGTCTTTAGATAAATAAATTCTATTTTATGCTCTGTCCTTTTATTTTTGTATTTTTAAGCTGAGAGGCTTCCATCTGTGCATGACATACGTTTCGGGACCAAATTAAGCACAGTGTTGGTGTGTTGCAACTTGCAACCCAGTCTCACTGCATTTTGTGTTATAGTCAAAAAAGTAATCTATTGATTCATGTTCACCAACACGATTTCCCCATTTTGTTCGTGTCACACAGAACGAATTTAAAAGCAATGTAAATAATAACAAATTGGAAGGAAAAAGAGATTTTAAAAACAAATACAGATTTCAGTATTCTGAAAGACCGATTTTAGAAGCAATGCATTTGTATTGGTAATATGTTTCGTGCCTGCACCAAATAATAACAAATTACAAGGAAAAAATTATGAGGACAAAAAATACAGATTTCAGTATTCTGAGCCTCTGAGCCATTTATTTTCCTCCGACATTATACCATTTCAAATAAAAGGGTTAGGCTAAGGGTAAGATATTGAGTAAGAAAATGTTTTTATGAACCACACAGCTTCTGGTCTTCCAAGAAAAAAAAGATCGTTCTGTGTGACACAAAACAAATGCGAAAATCGTGTTTGTGAACACGAATCAATAGATTAAATGTATGCTGTGAGACTGGGTTGCAAATATTCTTAGCAAGCTAGTTAACATTATTAGCTACCACAAACAACTACAATTATTTTCAAGGGAAATTAACTAATGTTAGCTAACTGGGGAACAAATTCAATTAAATGTAACGTTATCTAGATAACGTATCATCACTCACTGCATGTGTCGAGGCCACACAAGAGGGCTGCTTCCGCACGGAGCAGAAGAACACGTGCTAGAACAGGGTTGCCAACTCTCACGCATCTGGCGTGTGACACACGCTTTCACTCTCAATCTCACGCTCTCACGCTGCCCAAACTATTCTCACGCCAAAAACAAGAATACCGAAGACTAGAAACGGTTTTGAAAACTTTTGTCAGGTAGTGATCGTCTTCTCAATAGAACATCTTTGATAATGTCTTCTAGCCAATCAGAATCAAGATAACGGCGTGGTGTTGTTCCAGGAAGTCCCGACGGAGAATACTTTTGCATTTGCTGTAGTAGCTACATCTCTATACATCGATACAACATTACGTGTTGATAGAAATCAACACGTAATGAAATAAGACCCCACGGTTTGATGATTGATAGGTGCAGGGACGTGCACAGGTACGGGCTAATGTTGCCAGGGCAACGGCCCGTTTGGCCTTTTTGGCTGACCTGCCCCTCTGGAGAGAGCGAGAATTTATTTTTTAAGTTTTTCTGTTGTGGCCGAATCAACATGATAAGCCCACAATTAGTAGCGTCTCGCTGCGGGAAACACACTTTGTCAGCGCTGTCATCTGCCGGTGCGTTAAGACCACCTCAGTGTCGGATTTTGGAAACTTGATTTTGAGTTGTCTCATCATGGCAGTTAGGGTATAAGGGACAAACCAGGGGACTTTACTTCCTCTTGATACCGTTGGTTATTTACAAAAAAACACCTAAATATAGCCTACTTGTTGTGATTGTGTGTCTTTTCATCTGTAAACTCCGTCAACAGGGCCGCTCGCTCTCTTTTCTTGATCGCCCTCTCATGGGTGAATACTTCACTGTCCCGCTTCATTGTAGAATTTCTGCCATGTCTCTACCACTTTAGTTTGACCATCTCTGTTATTAAGTTACGGAATACTAAATAGCCTAAATAAGTAATTAGATACCTTACCGTTACTGGCTGCGCTCATAATGATAAGAATAAGAATAATGCGTATTGAACTGGTTTAATTAATTAGTGAGTTTATTTAAGGTAGCCTAGTTAGAAGCAGGGGTTAAGTTGGGATTTGATATGTGGGGGGGGGCTCTGTGTGGAGGTGCGAGAGGGGGGGGGGGGGGGGGGAGGTCGAGGATCTCATTATTTGACCTTAAGGGATATAGGCCTACACTGTGGCCCTAAAGCAACTGCTCCATTATCTGTATCAAATGCAGACATTGATGCCACCAAATGTCACAATAAAAATAGAAAGTACTACAAATAAACTGGAATTCATTTACATCTTAAATTATGAATATATATACACAAAAAAAGGTTTACAAATATCCAACCTTCAAATTGCTTTTTTAAATCAACACTGCTCTGCACACTTGCTAAAGAACATTTGTGTGGAAATCTCAATTCATTTGTAGGGCTGCGTGAGTATGGCCAAAAGTATGGGAGTAAATCTCACTGTAAACTATTTAATCATCACCAAATTCTGTGTTATTAGGACCGATCATAACTCAGCTTTATGCAGACATATTTAGCATGGTGTACAGGGCCGCTTCTTGGCATAGGCGACATAGGCGGTCGCCTAGGGCGCCAGATCTGGGGGGGGGGGGGGGGGGGGGGGGGGGGGGGGGGGCGCTGATTACCAACACCTTTGATTACCAACATGTCAATACGTTTCTGTTTTTGTAGTATATTGGTCTTTTGTAGAGATTTTTCATTTATTCTTTATATATTCTATTGTGTATTCCTTGGGTACTTTTATCTTTTCTATTGTACGATTGAAGTAAATGTGGGAAGCGTTTAACAACAGCCATTTACTTAGGGGGCGCTGCGCTGGCAGCTCTGGGAGGGAAAAAACATTTTGACTGTTTGCGCTCATCCTAATTTTCCACCTTGATGTAACAGCATTCATAATTAAGTCAAGGTAACACCCTTTTCACCCCGGGTTACACTTTTCATTTGCCCCGTACGATGGGCGCTGTAAGTGATGAAAGTGGGGGGTGTTGGCTTATCAGGCGTCCGCAGCTCACAGCCAAAGTGGGTGTGGGATCGAGCGAGAGAGATAAATGCAATTTATGTAAACAAATATTTCCAAGGCACTCTTTTATAATTATTGGGGTAAACAGGTTTGAAATCATTTCAATGTATACTATAGGACAGTAAACCAAAAATATTGTTTAAAACTTGAGAGATACAAAAATATGCATAAATAAATGTTAACTAGGTAAAATAAGATATGAATGAACAACAAAAATAAAATAAGTTGCATTTATTTGCTATTGGCTATGGTAGGTTATTGGTTATGTTCACATACTTATTTGATTATTAAAATGTAAACCAATCTTTTTCATATGGGTGTTTTACGGCCCGTCCACACAGCAGCGTGCGTTGAAAGCTTCACCATTCACTTTGAATGGGGTGACGTCACTTTGCTGGCGTGGCTCGCTGCAAAAGTTGAGCAATGTTCAAGTTTTGAAGCCACGGCAGAAGCGTCAGCCAATCGAATCATATGCCAGTATAAGCTCTAGCCAATCAAACCGCTGCTTGTATGTCAGGGGCGGGAGATTAATGTGATTGGTTGTTGGTCGAGTTTCAGACACGCCCGCCGGCAAGCTTCAACGCACGCCGCTGTGTGGACGGGCCGTTAGAGTTGTACCCCCTAGATCAGGTCTCTAGTAATGTGTGCTCTAAGTGCACCAGATTGAAGCATTTACTTTAAATGTTCAAACATTTCTTCCCGGGGGGGCATACCCCCGGACCCCCCTAGAGGATGTGATGTCCTCACCCCAATTAAAACATGTTCATATAATACTGAATACATTTGAAGACCTATGTCAATACGTTTCTGTTTTTGTAGTGCATTGGTCTTTTGTAGAGATTTTTCATTTATTTTTTATATATTCTATTGTGTATTCCTTGGATACTTTTATTTGTTCTACTGAACGATTTTCTGGCAGGGGGGGGCGCCAGCTAAAATCTCGCCTAGGGCAGCAAATTGGTTAGAACCGGCCCTGATGGTGTAGGAAACGGGCTCCGTGTTACAAGACGGGTCGGGGGTTTGGCGGTACCACTGCAGACTCTCTGCAAACACACACACACCGCTGCAGACTCTCTGCACGAAGGAGCCACGGTGCTGCAGCTCCTGATCGGAGCAGAGACACACGTTCACTAAGCGGAAAAACGATATCCTGTCACAGAGATCTGCTATTTTAAATTTTAAAGTCAACACATATCGACCCTAAATAAAGTCTATATTAAGAACGAGAGATGTTTTGACATTATGGCTTAAACAAATGACAAATGAGCAAGGGCGATGACGTCAGAGCATCGTCCTATGTGCCGGGGCTGGCCCAATTTAACCCCTGGTTAGAGGCCCTATTTTATCAGTATGTCTGGACTGCACAGCAGTTACAATGGTCAAACTACATTAGAACAGAATTGTCCCCATTTTGTCTTTAATAGTTACTAACATTAGATATTGTAATGAGATATGGACCGCAAAACAAAAAATGTCCCTGATTTTCATTTTTGAAATTAAGTCACCGAATGCAAGTAGTCCCCTTAGCTTATTTTGTTATGAGATGTGAATTACTGTTCAATTTAGTTGATGTAATAATCAGTTGGTTTCTTTTACATTAAAAAAAGGTCTTGTGTTTTTTTTCGGGGGGAGGCCCTTTTTCCAGTTTAGAGCAATAGCCCCTCC